GAATGACCTGAAGGTCTGTTCATCATTCGCCGAAGCTTGAGCAGTCTTCACAGATATGTAGACAGGCTTGTAATCACTGAGTATCGCTTCAGATCACGTACTCGCCAGTCTCTAATCTTCAGTTTCAGTCTTCGACATTTGCTGAAGGTTCTTTGGTATGAGTGTTGTCTTCTTGAAGTATCGTTGTCTTTGATAGATTTACAATACAAATTCTTCAGCGATCACTGAACAGACTCAGTGAAGATCGTTGGAACTGAAAAGACAGAAACATAAATACAACGTATAAGTGAAAAGAGATTATCATCAAATCACTAATAAAGAGGATCAATACAGGACCCTAAGTCGAAAGGCAAAGGTGTCGCTGAAGAAGGGAACCTGAAGGTACTTTTAAACAACCCTCAACCCTTATTTGAAGACTCTACCTCTCAGGTAGTTGTCACTTCATTATATCAACTTCATATCCCTTCTACTACTTGCAGTTGACTGGAGTGGGTCCCTGAAAACCTTGTCTCCAGTACTCCTACTGACCAGCAGATGGCTCAGCTAAAGGAGTCACTCGACCAGACTAGAGTAAAAATCCCTCTTCGTACCTCTAGTGGTGGTGAGTTTGACTTCCTTTCAGAAGCTGAAAGACTCGAGGCGATAAGGGCTGAAGAAGAGCTAGAGTTTCAGAAGAAGCAGACTGAAGACAGCCTAAAGCTGGCCAAGCCACTAGTTGAAAAGATTCTCCCAAAGAGAAAGTCCAAAAAGAAGGTGAACGTTGTCATAGCCCAAGCTAAGTTACTTTCTCTTGCAGAAGCTGAGCACGAGAAAAATCTGAAGCTGGCTGAGCGGGACAAGCGCTGGAGAAAAGCAAAGCTGAAGAAGAGAATTAGTCCTCACCCGATCAAGAGCGTCAACATCAGTGGATGATCCAAAGACGGTGGAACTCTTGTCTCAATGCTCATCACCAGGGACAATGTCGACGCCAGTACCGAGTACCCTTCCTACCTTAGCCACTATGGATATAACGAATGGCTGGAGATCAGGCAAGCCATTCAGCGATCCAAGTCTAGACATAAGCCGATTATCGAAGACATCATCAACGATCTCATCAAAAGGATGTCCAGGTATGTCGTAGTCCCTGACAGGCCATCTCTGAAGAAGGGAGGAAGGAAGAAAAGACCCTCTAGTCCTATTGATGGACCATCCCTGAGGAACGAACATGAAACAAGGTTCTCCTTAGATGAAGTCCTGAAGGAATATGAGAGTATAGACATCTCTATGCTGAATCTTGATTTGACAGAGAAGGGTCCTTATATACCCAACTTTGTGCACTTCAAACCTGAGTTAGGAATTATATTTCTTGACTATGAAGGTGATGTAAGATTTCAAAGAATGTCTGAGTTACATCTATGCCCGATGGGACATCTGGTTTATCTTATGTTCTGGATAGATGATAACTTGCAAGGAAAAGTGGTGGACCGAAAGATACGAAGAGAATTTCTACGTCGAAAGAAAATTCTTTTGTAATCTACTTACTAGACTAGTTCATCTTTCTTTGTAATATTGTCCACATTCTTTTGTAATCTACTTACTATGTCTACTTTCAGTGATTAATATTATAGTCTGTAAGTTTTAGACATGTACTGAACATCTTGTAATATTTCCATTGAATATAATATAAATGTTTTTGTACTTTACTGAAAAAGTTCCTTGAAAAAAGTAATAGGGACACAAGTCTATGAGTTCCAGTGAGCTTTCAGTTTTAGTTTCCATCCTTATAACTTTTCGTAAATATAACTTAAGAAAATTCACTAAGTAAAGACTGGCTCACTGAAAAAGATCCCAAAATAGTTAAAAGGAACATGTACTTTATATGTTACTTTTCCTTACTATTTGATAAGACAACTTTCTTTATGTTGTCTTGTTATCATCAAATAGGAGGAGATTGTTGATCCTCTCTCTCATTTGATTTGATGATAATCCATTTTACCTTATGCGAAGTATTTATGTTTCTATTTTTCAGTTCCAGCATAAATTCAATCAGCGACAGCGATACTTCAAGAAGACAACGCTCACACCAAAGAACCTTCAGCGAAAGTCGAAGACTGAAACTGAAGATTAGAGACTGGCGAGTACGTGATCTTAAGCGGTATTCAGTGATTACAACCTTGTCTACATATGTGTGAAGACTGCCCAAGCCTCAACGAATGCTGAAGAGACCTTTAGGTTATTCCAGCATTCAACGATCAAAAGAAGCTTGTCGAGCACGATTGTTATTGTCTTGTCCTTACATACACTAAGGACAAACCCTTACCCTTTCTAAACTTTAATATGTTACGGAGCCGATTAGTTGACTCTATTACCGACCAACTTTATGAAAGGATGTCTGCTCATGAATAGGCTTTTGTACTATTCATTGTAGCAAAGGACAAACCTTCCCCTTAAGGCTTGACACGCATTCTAAACCTACCACGTTGCATTAAATGTGCATTTAATGCAACGGGTATAAATAGATGTGTTCTATCTCCATGCAGAGATTCTCTTAACCCTTACTCTGAGCTTACTAACGCTTAAGTAAAAGAACACACACATCTAAAAACAAATACGCTCATCTTCAAGAGCAAGTTAGAATCTCTTTGTTGTATTCTAAACAAGTTCTCTCCTAGATAGAACTTACTTTCTTCTATTTCTTTAACAACAAATCTTTTCTTTATTTGCTAAGAATTAGTGTGTAAACTTTAGATTGTTTATATAGGTTTTGTCTACCTTATCTTTCCACAAACAATCTTGTAAAATATGTTTTGATCTTCCTCTTATCAATATATATTTTAAATTTGAAAATTTTGTGTTTGTATTCATCCCCCCCCCCTTCTACAAACTGTTATACACATCTTGTAGACCCTAATGGGACCTATATTAATCTTCTTTATCAATATAAAGTGAAAGCAGTTGTGTTTGTATTCACCCCCCTCCTTTACAAACTGTTACCTATAAACTCTTATAGATCCGGCTAGGACCAACAAGTTGTATCAGAGAAGTGTTTGTTTTTGTGTTGTATTGTTGTTTTATTGGTGTTTTATTATCTCTTCTTCTCTAAATAATTTATCTACCTTTCAAAATGGCTTTGCAAAACACGAGCACAAACTTTCACGACAATCGCTCTATTGCCAAACCTCCTCGATTTATCAGAGACAACTTTAGTCTCTGGAAGAACCGAATGTCTCTCTTCTTGGAAGGTGTGGATTCTGAGATTCCATACTACATAGAGAATGGACCTTATGTTCCATCCGCTATCTCTCCGGCAGTTCCTGCTACTGCTACGACTGTTGCGATTCTTGAACGACATATTCTGAAGCTCCCTCATCAGTGGAGTGATGAAGACAAGAAGAAGGTGGCTTTAGATACTTGTGTCGAGATCTATAATAGCCATGGCTCTTTCTGACGAGGTCTATCACGCTGTGATTAAACTTAAAACCTTGAAAACTATGTGGGACACTCTCTGTGTTCAATATGAAGGTACTTCTGAAGTACAAGAATAGAGAAAGATTAATTTAATAAGACAATATGAAAGTTTTCTTTGTGAAAAATCTGAATCTGTCTGAAGTACATCAACTCTTTGGGTGCGTTTGATACACAGACAGGACAGGATAGGTGTTCAACATTTGGTAAGACATGACAGGACATGACAGAACTGGTTAAAATGACCAATTTACCCTCAGTGAGCTGTTTAGTGTTTTTTAACTAAATAAATATTATTTAAAAATACAAAAAAAAATCTAAAATCAATGTTAATTAACAACTCATATTCATAAATTAAAAGATTTAAACATCATATTCACCAATACAAAAGTTGAAATGTTTACCAACATTTAAATGTTTCTTTTGTGTACCAAAAGACCTAAACACAAAAGATCAAATGTTTACAATTGTGTACCAAAAGACTTAAACACAAAAGACTTAAACACAAAAGATCAATTGTTTACCAACTAACATCACATGTCTAACTTCTTTAAGATGGTCCTTACAAATTTTGGCTTCTAAGTTTAATATGCAAAAACCTAGAAATGTTATTATGACGTCCTAAAAGCACGTTTTCCAATATTGAAAAGAATTGCATCATTTACACTTGAGGTTCAAAGAGACGTCGTTATTGCATGTTTTGCGATTCACAACTTCATACAAAAAGAAGGTTTAAGTGATGAGTTATTTTCTAAGTATGCTCAAACTGACGAGCAAAAGAACGATGACGAGGATGAGACTGAAGAGGTTCAATCGCATGGTAATGCCGCATACCAAACATACATGGCTAGTTTAAGGGAAGAAATTGCTACACAATTAATACAAAATGAATATCGATTCTAGTTGTTATGAGATTTCATTCGTGTTTTCTATTATGCATTGAATCAATTGACGTATTTCAATCGAATTTTTGAATTTTTTAAAAATAAATGATAGTTTAGAAATGGTTTAAATGATTGGATATTTCAGTTAAAATTAATTGATTCAGATTTCAAACTTCAGACGTTTATCAATTTACAATGACAAACAGCTTTATTGATTCAGATTTCAAACCTCATACGTAAAAACAACCAGTCTGACTAATTCAAATTTTAGATTTTAGACGTAAAAACAGTCTGACTAATTCAGATTTCAGACTTCAACGCCACCTCTTAAAAATCTGAAATGAAATCAAACTCCAGACCTTAGCACCTCTTAGAAAAAAACACCACCTAAGACTCTTGGTCCTTGTTTCACTCTTACCGAGTATAATTTTTGGTCCTTAACATATTCATCCGGTAAAATAATGTGACTTAGTGTTCACTTATCCGAGTAAGCGTTACCCCTAAATGACCTTTTCAAGTTCATTACCTTTTATGATAGAATAAGAAAATTCTCATTTAGCATGTGATGATGGGCACCTACAAAAGAGGACCTGGGTTCAAACCTGGACACCATTACTTACTTTTGACTCGTAGTGATTTACCATTGTACACCTGCAATTCACTACATAATAATAGCCAAAGTGAATTGTACCAAAAATATTTCTTAAATATATTATAAGTAGGTCCCTACCAAGTTTCTTTTTTTTACCCGAACGACAAGTGTTGCAGGTTCAAACCCTTGGTCGAATTAAAAAGGATAAAAAGGCTAAGAACTATACCACATATTCATGACCAACTATCTCAAAGTCAAAGAACAAACAGGCTTCGACTATACAGCCTTCAATGGTCCGACCTAAAAATGGCAGAAAGCCATGTATAAAAAGTACACATATAATTGTCTAACCGAGACAGGAAATTCCACCATCATTTAGGCTATGTTCTAAAAAAGCTCCATCAACTGCTGGACAACATCTGCAACAAGAAAGCAACAAGATTTTTATCTCTAGAAGAATATATGCATACATACTACGCACAAGTAGTTCAGGTTCATATGGTCCTTCATGGAACCAACTTTTCTACCATAGGGGTAGTTGAGAGGTCTACGTACATCCTACCCCCAACACTACCTGCATGTGATTTAATAGGTTTGTTTGGTATGGTTTGGTTTAAGTTCAGGTTCAAATGAAATTAATCAAGATCTTTATCGGAGTTTCGATAAATACAAACTTATAGCCAAAACCCAATTTGCTTTCTTCAATATGTGGGTTTGGACCGGTACATTGCCACATCAGCTTGGAAAAAACAGTTTAAACCATAGCGAGAATGTGACCTCACAGCCATTTTAGTAAATAATTAATAAATGAATTCACCCACTCTATTTTTAATTTTGTTTTTATTATGAATCATGGATCGGTTCATGGTTAGGAGTGAAGGTTTGTACAAGGTGTAGGAATGGGAAATCAATGTGGCAGAATCATGAAATTGTGGAGATGCTTTATGGAAGGTTTATAAACCTGGCGAACCGGTTAAGAAATTTTTACACCGTTGGGAGGAAGTGGTGCATGCCAACGTGAAAGGGGAAAGGTTCATAAACATGAACCGATTCATCAAAATGGTGGGACCCAATCCAATTAAATAATAAGTAATTAAAATTTAGGTTATGGACAGGTTCATGATTCGGTAGAAGGTTTATGAAATGGGTAGGAAAGAGAAACATGATGTGGCACCGCAGATGCCCTAAGTATGAATCTCGCCCTTGGGGTGAATCAGTGAGCAGGCAGCAAAAAACCACCCTCTTGGGTGTGGTTTCCCAGAGTTTTTCTTAATAAAAAAGTAAGGCCACAAGCTCATCCTTTATATCGTGTTCTAAACAAAAATGTACGGACTTTGCAACAAAGCCATCCATATATAAAAAAACCAGACTAACGAACCCAATATATCCTACACAAAGGTAGAGTCTAGGGAGGGTAGAATGTACCGCACACCTTGTCTCTTCCAATTGGTAAAGAGGGCTTTGGCTTGCAAAACAAAAAATTAACAGGAAACATGTGCAAAAGTAGCGGAGTGAGTGGGACATAAGAAAGCCATCAATTACTTGTAGAAATATTCCGTAATAACATTTGCATGGCTATGAATTTTGGCGCAAAAAGAGTAACCTGAAATCAAAAATGAAATTGCATACCCTTGAGTACAGATGGTGGTGTGTAGAACTCTTGCCAAACATTCTGGCATGACGTAAGATCCATATTTAAAGATCTTGCAGCAAGATATGCAGCTCCAGCCGCAATCTGGTGAGGCTTAAACTGAAGCCAAAGTGAGCTACGCAACCTACAAAAGAATTACTCAATTTTAGGATAGTAAAATCGAACAAAAAATCAGCAGAGAACAAGTTATTGAACAACCATCTAATGATTAAACACACCATAAAATGAATAATCAATCTCTGGCACAAATTGAATATTACATTAAACGAGCATCCGCTTCAAAGTTTTTAGTAATTACCAAAGAGACGAGTAGCAGGTGTAATGTGACATGTGATATGTTGAAGCAAGTGTGCCAAGTTAGAAGGCAAGCCAAGGCAATTTTCTCTTACCAACAAAGAAAGCAGCATCTGATGCACATTTTCCAAGTATCTTCCGCAGAATTGCTGACAAGTGCCATTAGCATAAAAAAGATTTTACACCCCATCTAGAACACCAAACCAGTACCCACTTTGATGCTGCAGACTTTGGACCCCAGTTTAATTGAAAAGGCAGAAACAACTACTTTCGCAAGCAACGTCACTCTAAGAAAGCCAATGGCATATTTCTCCGTTCTGTAATAGCTTTGACAATATGCAAGTTTTAAGCTAGGGTTTTTTTCCTCCTCCAAAAATTAGCAGAAGCTCTAAGCTAATGATATTTCATCGCGTTGCACCTGTCACTTCACTGCTACTTACCACACTTATTCCCTGTTATTTTTGTTTTCAAGCCGGGGGTTTTCACAGAAACAGCCTCTCTACCACTTGGGGTAAAGGTAAAAAGGTCTGCATACATCCTACACTTCCCAAACCCCACCTCTATGTGAGATATACTGTGTTCGTTTGGTTTGGTTTGTTTCTTAGCTAATGATATTTCATCACTGTACCTGTCACTTCACTGCTACTTACGACACTTTTTCCCTGTTATTTTTTGTTTTTCAAGTCAGGGGACTTCATGGAAACACTCTCTCTACCCCTTGTGGTAGAGGTAAGGTCTGCACACATCCTACCCTCCCCAGACACTGCTTCTGTGTGTGTAGGGGGGATATAGTAAGTTCGTTTGGTTTGTTTCTTAAGCTAATGATATCAGTAATAGCAATGAGATCACTAGACTGCAAGCATGAGATGTGCTATTCCCACTTCTAACAACAAGCATCTGTGCTTATAATGCATATACTTCACACAAGGCAAATCTTCCTGGACATCTTTTTTCATTTGCGATGGGTCACAATCATTCAAGTGATTCTAATGTCTGTCATCAAGACACTAAAAATACTAACTAGCACATTGACTATTTATGTACTGATGGAACTTACAATGTCATGTCAGCCAAGACAACAAAGACAAATCTGAAAGGACTTGTTACAAAAACAGCATCTGAGGTTTAGGAAAGAGAAGCAAGGGATTAGGAAGCCACCTCAGTTTTTTTGTTTAATAATAAAATTAATGGTATGCATTAGCTGTCGAAATTTGCTTTTCCAAACCTACTTTTTGATTAAAAGAAGAGAGGGTTAAAATTCTCGCCAAAAGAAAAATGGTAAGCAGCACGCCCTTAAACATCAGCTGAAGTTCCAGCACTCTAAGACCAAGCATGCAGATGATTCAGGAACAACATTTGCAAATGCAAACAAAGAACATGAGAAGTAAAAAGTAAAAGAAAATTTATTCTCACTATCAACAGATTCTAGATGCAGATTCAAAGTGCATTACTCCTGGTGTTCATAATCTCGTAAACATAACCATAATAAAATATTATCAGAAGTCCATTTAACAATTACTTTCATCATAAAACAGTCACCAACTTATGGTAGACATCATGTAGATAACTTCTATACCAATAAATTAGCATCCGATGTATGTATGTATGATATTGATTGATGAATGATGCGTAACAAGAACGAAACTAAAGAAGTGACTTAATTAAATAGTGGGTTAAAATGAAGAGGTACATTGTGACTGTAAAGAAAGCTATAATACAAGAAACAAAGAGTTAACAAGGTAAAAAAGAGAAAAAAAGACCATCCACCTAGCAAGATTATGATTACCAGATCAGCACAAGCAACATTAGGCATGTATATAATGAAATTTAAGAGTAATCACCACTAGAATGAGAAAAACCATCAACCAGCTTCCTGCCAGTATCCCTTGGTTAACACCACAAAATATACCCATCCAAGACAGTAGACATGTCTCTGTTAATATCACAGCCACAGTCAAATAGAACTGCTTTTGAGAACTCAGTAGTTATGTTAACCTTCAAATAGAACTGCTTTTGAGAACTCAGTAGTTATGTTAACCTTCAGTCTAAAAGAAAACATGATACGGAAAATATTTCAAAATAATGCGACGATCAACGAGGTATCATCTTATGGACCAAAACATTCCATTACACACTTAAACCCAGAACCACCTAAAGCCAAAAATGGGAAGATATAGCATATAGATGTGACCCCCTGTGCTAGAACAATCAATCAGCAAGGTAATGGAAATTTTGCCAACTCAGAGTAGTAAAGTAGAACCTAATACAAAATTTACATTTAGGATTGAATGCCGAAAAACATAACAGTATGAACGGGACAAATAGATGGAAGCATATGAAGGTCCATACCCGATCAAAAAACAGGCAAGACGTATAATAACACTCATCAACTAGCGCACTTTTTAAATATAACTTTCTCAACCAAGCAAAAAGGGAACGAAGCATTTCTCTAGTAGTGATTAACACTCACAGCAATAAACAAGATGATCTATGCATCAACACAATTAACAGTAAGAATGACAAACTGGTGCATGGTGCCAAAGGAAAAATGTGTATAAATAATTGTGTTTTTGCAACCACTCAAGCACAGTTGAATTTTGAGTTATATGCTATGCCCACTAACACCAAAAGTTTCTTTTCTTTTCCATCTTAGATACAATCATGTAATCTTTTTGCTCCCTTCTTTGCATAGATTTTATAAAACACGTGTACTTCTGTATCACAATAGCCAATATCAAGTTCTATTCTGAAAATCACTTGCAATATATTAAACAAGGAATCTGAAACAAAAGCAAAGATACAGGGAATAGCAGTTGACATTTGACACCCTCTGGGTTTCAATACTCAATTTAATAGATATTCGCCTATAGACTTCAATATAACAGAAGCAAGCAAGAACATATAGTGAAACTGTATCTTGTTTAGAATGCCAAACAAAAATAAAGTAAGTGAATCGAACTTTAGCTAGATGATAACAGAAAAGGTCGAGAGTATGTAACTTGTATCTTTTGGGGAAATCATTACTCATTAAAAAAATTAGTTTTATTGGAAACTTTTTTTTTCTTGCAAGTTAATTGGTTAGCTGTCCAGTGATGAAATAGTGATTGCAAGGTCCCTCAAAAGGCTGTACCCCAAGTAAACAAGCTGCCTTGTAGAGTCAGAAATAACTATGCACTGTGATTCAGGTGTGGTCATTACATATGGACACAAAAGAATGATACAAAGTTGGTGCTGAAGCACTTGCGACTAGCTTCTATGGTTAGCAATCAAGTTAAGAAAGAATTTGAATTTCATAGAAACTGCATCCAAACACATCGGTTGTTCAACTTCAGATGAGAAATAAGACTCTAGACGAACAGCATATCTATCCACCAGCTAAGAAAATCATACAGGCTTGCATGCTACTCTTCTATTGGCCCTGCAAGTATATGTCAATCCAAGAAATCAATAAACAATGCAGACAACTACACATAGCAATTGTGCAAGAGCACAGAAGGAAGATTACTGGATCGAGTAGCAAAATGACAAAAGTAAATCCTACGACTAGAGATGCCACCAAGCAAATCAAAGAAATATACTGAAAAGGTAATTAGGTGAGATGCAGGCACTTCTGCCCAGTAGCCTGCTATCTAGCATTATTCCAATTTAGATAAAAGCAACCAACAGAGGGACAATCACCATTGAAATTCATCTACTCCAATTCCATAAAGCTTGTTAAAACAAAAAAGTATGATATGGCTTACCCTTCACTGACCAAGCTCAACGCCAGATTTACCAGAAGTGACTGTGCAAGGCCTAGTTTATCAAGAATGGACGTAAGATGGGCATATGGATGCTGCACATTAAGCTCAAAGTTAAGAGTCGTCAGAACCATTTGCTCAGCTTCAATCACCCGTTCTCGGTATTGATCAAACCAATCCTGTTCAACAGTGGTTTATTAGACAAAAAGAATCATACAAAGTACTGAAACAATAGATTCCTTGCTGAGACCAGTATTAAGTACTCACCATGGGGAGTAGATAGCAGAGTAAATTGAAATCCTGCTTATGGAAAATTTCAGAGGACACTCTCAAGACATTGTTCAGAGGGCAAGGTGTCTCCTCAGACTTTGCAGCAAGAAAAAGGGCAGCAGTAGCAACCAACTGTAGGATAATTGTATAAGCAACAATAACTTCACTAAACAAATCAACAACAAAAATGGTATACAGGTTACAGCTCAAGTTAGTTCAGATAAACTACTGGTTTTAATGGAGCACATCAAGGAACTACTAGCTCCATCATAAGTAAGTGATCACAGCTACTACGCATCATTTTAGTTATATTTCTGTAGTTACAATTACTATTTTGGTTGGAGACAGGAGTACCCAACCGATAGCCGCTCAAACGAAGAGCAAGGTGCCTACAGCCACTATGCCTCAGTTCACACCTTCAAATAACATCAAGACAAGAACAAAAAACAGGACAGTGATGTGTCTTAAGTGTAAAATAGCAATATGACATGGACTAGAGGAAAAGAAGCTTATTCTTCCATGACAACAGAAGAAAAATGGGTCATTCCTTATCTTCAAACAAAGGTGTGTTAATTACCCTGCAACAGCAGAAGTACAATACTTCCACGCTTCAATGCTAGCAAGGCAAAGCGATGCCATATCTAATATTGTATTTTCACATCCTTAAGTATTGGAAATTATCTAACATTGAAATGTATAGCCTTCAGATATCTGTCAACTGAATGTTAGGAATTTAGGTCATAGACCTAAAACAAAACAGTAATAAGGTAGTAAATGTTTTATTTATATTTCGAAAGTAGAATATAATAATGAAAAAGTAGCCTATATGCAAATGCAATAACTAGTAATATCTAAGATACAAAAACCTTCACAGACAGTGACAGTACTTCTAATATCATATTTTATTTAATTCTCTTAACCATAGAAGTGAACAACATTTATCATGCCTATACTTGGTTATTTACCAAAAAGAAATAGTATCTTACAAATCTATCATGGGATGCATGCGACCGCCGGACAAAAAACCGATGGCATAAAACCATAGCAGTTCCAATGGTAGTTTGTGGCCTGTGATCAAAATTAAAAAAAGTTCGTGTCAAACAACAAAATGAACACAATTAGACAAACCTTTATAATGCCTAACTTCAAATGACATCGTTAGAATTTATAGACGTGTACAAGGACAAACTAAAATGCTTTGCTTACAGCTCAAGACGAATTCCAAGGTTCTGAAGAAACGCACAGTAAGAGTACCGCAAATGTGTTTCCTGCAGGACATCAATACCATCTTTTCTGGAAGGTGAAAACCTCTCAATCTCATCCCTTGACATAAATTCAGCATCCTCGTCTTCAAACCTTGTACGGTCACGCTTACAACTAGTAGATGTACAAGCTTTAGCATTGGCATCGGACACTACAGGAGGAAGGGAAGTGATCTTGGAGCTTGAAGGGGAATATTCATATGTGCAAGATTGATTATAAGATGTACCATAACTTTCCCAATTGGTGGCGGAAAACTTCCTCCTCTTGAGAGATGGTAAAACTTCGGGCTCAATGTAACCGTAAACGTTATACTGCTGCCCAGATTCATTTGAGAAGTCATGGGAGTTGTTATAGCTTCTTCTATGGTTATTATTAATGTAACGCCTGTTGGTCGTAAAGGCTGAGGAGGCTGAGCCATACATGTGATGGTAATTTCTTCCAAAGGAAGATCTGAAATCACCAGGAACTTGACTGTGTTCTGCATGATGAGGCCGAGCAAGGGACATTGTTCCTGCAGAAATGCCCAACAGGATATTACAAAAGAAGCAATGTAATTAATAATGTTAGATATGTTTCTATACTCGCTAGAAACAAATTGTACAACGGACAGTGATATTGGAAAAACTAGGATATTGTCACACAGAAACAGTCTTCATGACTTCATGTAGTAAGTGTCAATAAGATCTTCTGAACCTTAGCATTATCCCAGTTGTCTCATTTGCTTGTAAAAAGATCAAATCTTAAATGCAACTTGTTTCATTTCCTGACACCCTATCTTGGCTAAATAATGCATGGCTCATTAATGCTATCTATCATTCCAGTCCAGGTTTTAAAGTATGGAAACACAAGGCGTGGCATTTTTCCTTGGCACTTGGAGGCAGAAACAAATTAAATTCATAACAGGCAAAACATAATTGCATATCACATCAAGTTATAGAAGTCATAAAATTCATTAAACCAAGAGTTATAAGTCTTAAAAGATATAAAATACAAAAGTTAAATAACTATATTACATATTTATATTATATATTAAAAACACAAAATGAAGGAATACAGAAGTTATTAAATATAATAATTATTTATATGTGAAATAAAAACAATCCACCTAAGGTAGAATAAATGAGAAACCGTGAGAAGGGGGCTGCCTGAGAGAGAATATATGAGGTGGATGAGGTGAGGAGGAGGGCTGTCAGTGAGGTGAGGAGGGTAATTTTGCTGTTAGGAGAGAGTTCGCTGCTGAGTGTGTGCCTCGCCCACCTCCTTTGCCTCATACAAGTACAACCAAGGCATACATCCCATACAAGGCTTGAGAGGCGTCTCCTCATAGTCGTTTTTTGACTACCTTCTTCCAAGGCATAAACCACTTGCAATTTTTAAAACCATGATTCCAATCCATTTTGGTGATGAGATGATTAGTGTTTGTTGTGATATCTTACCAAAGAATTTAACTGATGTCATACTTGGAAAGTCATGAATATATTATTTTCATGCTGAGCATGACAAAAAACAAAATTACTATAGTTTCACCGTTGGAAAAATAAGAACGATTTCATTTCCAACAAAACAATGCAGATTATGATTCTAAAATCAAGCATGAGGAACACACAAGCTTGAACCTTCAAGCTGAAAATATAGAAATGCTGATGAAGTAGCACAGGATGCGATAGATAAGAAAAAACTGAAGAGAAAGATAGACAATAGTGTGGTCATATCCATGACTGAAGCTTTGAAGCATGAGAATATCAGACTTAACTCGAGCATATGAAGAGCTTAGTATTAAAGCTTCTGTGTGGAAGTCAAAGAGGAAAAATTTTAAACATGATTTTGTTACACCACAAAACTATGTTGAAGCTTATGTCAACACAAGATCAGTGATACGGTATCGTACTTTATCCAGGAAGAAGCTTCAAGATACAATTTCAAGCAAACATGAGTGTAGAAGATGTTGTAAAGCTCATCTCCAATTCTACAATGCTTTAAATTCAAGTACAAGTTTTCTTGAAGGGAGGGAAGAATTATTTATTAATTTATTACGTGGATGGTTGTTAATGTTTATCTGACAGTTGATAGTTATTTGGATAATTGTTGAGGTTTATCATTATCTTCAATTTTAATCATTTTTAGGAAAAACATTGTCAGGGTAAAGTAAACATCCTTCTTTTTTGTTAGTCTAGTTGTAAAGTAATACCTCAAGAATGGCAACTTATTCGCTACAATCAAAACAAAAATTGAAGATTTAGCTAAATATAGAAATTAGAACTCTACTTTCTATCTTCATCCATGGATTCTTTATTCATACTCATTCTATTGGAAGTATCGATCCAATTTAAAAAAATATTCAATAATCCAACCTTTCAAATTTTATTCGACCTTGGTTGAAAATCCCAAAAATTTATTAGATGGTTGAATTACAAAAAAGTTGAGCGTTGCTTTCTTTGATTGTGAAAAGCGATCCTGGAAGCTCATAGGTGAGATACCTGTGTTTTGTTGGTATGAAGCCCTTTAAACCTAGTTCCTTGAAAGTTTTACGAGTCCCTTGTCTTCTTCCAAGTCCAAAATCCGTCCTGTGTCAAGCCTTCATCTACCCATTACATAGCCACTAACAAAAAGGTAACTAACAAGTTGACAACCAACAAAATACATATTAACCCCAACCACAATCAGATATGTAAAGAGGTAGACATACTAATGATAATTTATTCATGCCCATATTAAGAGCCTACAAGCAACCCAAGGCAACATAGTGACAATCAATAGAATTTCATTACTCCAAGACTCTAACAAATTCTTGAAACCTCCATTCAACAAAACCAGAAAATTGATCAGCAAGTTAAGCAAGTAGAGATCTTGACCAAGAAAGAAAGGGTACCCCTTTTTGCTAGTTTCTAGAAAAAAATATCAATCAATTCCTTTTCTCTTGATCTACTTCAATACGAAACCATATGGCAGCAATTCTTACACGATTTAACATAATTTGACATCGCATAACTGATAACACAGTACATACTTAATTTTAGGTTTTCCTGCAGATGAACCAAGATTGTTTTAATCTGTCGACAAGAACTTATAATCCCTAGTCAAAAGATTAAAAAAACAAAAAAAAATCTTGACATATAAACTTGCCTTCCAACAAACAGACGATAATTACGCAAATTCTGAAAGCAAATATTAACCTAGAAACATCAACAATCATACCAAACAAAACCACGTAGCAGAAAAGTTCAAAGAATCATACCAATCACTAGTCCGTCACGAGAAAAACTCGATCCAACGAATCACTAGTAATCGATCTTCTTGGTGAGTAGAGAATCGAGAAAAAAGTAATGAGATTGGGGAGTTTAGGAAAAATCGTCTCCTAAAAGATACCGTCCGTCGAAGGAACCATGGAAAGAGGCTCGAAACAGATCTCTAATATCCGGAAAAGGGAATAAAGCGTTTTATTTTATTTACCGAATTTTCTGAAATATCCAAAATTAAATGCAAATTTCCGACCCATAATTATTCCTATTAATTATAGTTGATGAAAATAAACGGTTGAACGGGTTGAATAACAAACCAAATATGATCGGACGGAGTAGGTGAAAATGTCACAAGTGGTTAAAAGAGACCCACCCATCAATACTATTTGTCTAATTTTTTCAAATATAATTAATTATTATAAAACATTCGGTAAACACTTTAAAACGAGTTATAAAATATCAAGTGTGTATCGTATAACATGACCGGTTGTAAATTTTTATTACAAATCGAGAACGAAAAATTAATGTGTTTTCCCATTAAAAAGAAAAATCATATATTCATGAAGTATTGTATTAGGGATATTTGGACAAAAAAGTTGATTACCAACAATGAAGTGTATTTGCAGGGATTATAAGTATATTCGTGCAATGCAGTGCGATATATCTCGATTATGAAAATGAGAACTCGAACCTTCAATTCTAATTCATGCTTCGTTTTATTTTCTATCTCTCTCAGCTTTGTTTTGTGTGGTTCTGAGATAGGAAAAATCTTTGGTTTGTTATCAACAATATTTTGTTGTGTTAGTAAGGTCAACGTTTATCTTGTATTCGAATATGTTTATCAGTTAGTTATTAATTTATTTTATGGAGTCAAAAGGTGTAACTTTTAATTAAGAAGTTGTATGTATACAACATGAAGTTGTAAACTTGAATTTAATTAGATTTTAAAAACATGAGGAAAATGTACTATAATATAGTAAATATATTAGTAGGAATATAACTTGAGATAACACAATAACTAAAATGAAAGGGTTCGTAGTAAGAACACCCTCCGCAAGTTGCAGCTTAGGCACTTGCGGAGGTATTGATTTTTTGATGAGTATGTGAGAGGAATGGCTAAGAAGTGAATTGGTCCCGTCAAAATAGTTATTTTTATTAATCTCCCTTATTTTAACCCAAATTTCTAATGGTGTAGTTCTTTTTAATATTGTTGATGATAATGTAGTATGTATGAGAAATCTTCAGCTTGAGAAAATGTACATTCATGGTAACTGATGGTGGCACTCCGACGACAAATACATCCATCTTGGAGAATGAAGAGCATATATCTTCTTGTGAAATAACTTCTCTTACAGTCAGTGATCCCCATGCTTTGACCAAGGAAGGGTTACTGGAAGCAAGCACTGAATTAATCTCGAGTTGTACCAATTTATAGGATACTAGTAAAGGGTTATGTTGTCCAGTTGAAGAAATCGTTCGTTGTATGGAGAAGCACCATCAACGCTTGTCGTCCTTTTTTTGTCTTACCGACAAAACTTCTGACGGCGTTTATGCTTCAACCAAGATGCATTCTTCAAGATTTGCCCTCTTTTTCTTTTAAGAAGGAACAACATGAAGGATTTGATTGGAAGGTTTTAGGAATTTACGCTTTTGCTCTTTCCTTTGTGTTTATGGTATTGCTTTATTGACACATTGTGTTCAAGATGAAGGATCGTGTGAGAGTAAGAGTTAGTGAGAAACGTATGAAGAGATCTGACCTTTGATCATTTTTAAGCTCACTCCCACCCCAAGAATTAGCTTCTCATGGGAATTGATTTGATGCATTTTGATGCATCTCACTATGGTTGATCTTCAATCAGGATTGATACAAGGGTGAAGATCTCTTCTTATCCTTCTCACTGTAACTTTCATTCTCACTGGAAACAAACCCCTGTGTTCAAATAGTCAAGATCTGAAGTTGTTAGGACTGAAAATCAGTGTTAAGTTGTATTCGTCTTGAAAGTTAATTTTTTCTATAATTGTATAAGTTGTGACACCCCAAAATAAGGTAAATAAATAAATTAGAAAGCAAAAAGAACAAGGAAAATAAAATAAAATGAGTTTTATTTTATTGGATAAAAAAATATAAACATATTTGAAAATCGGATTAAAAATGAAGGAACATGTCATATTAGGGGTGAAATGTGTAAAGATATCAAAAGTAATAGAGTCAGGGGGCCGAATGCATTTTTATGATAGTTAAGGGGTTGAGTCAGATGTTAATAGGTCCAAACCAGAAGGACCTATTTTGTAAATACACCTGTTTATCCCAGATCTCTCAATAACACTAATAATCAAGTTAAGAATAACCAAATTATAGTGTTTTAATTAACAAAAATGATGAACACTCAAGAACAATGTATAAACATTCAAAGAACAATCTTGAGTGCCAAAGATTTCACTTTTTTCAATAATAATGTAAAAACGTAAAAGCTTCGTTGATTACAATAGGCCTAATCACCTATTTATACTAGTAGGCTAATTAGAAGATAACTATCTAGCGAGACTATTTAGTTAATCTTCTACTAACAGATAAAGCTTATCTATAACAAGGATAAACATTAAAATGAGATAAACTTTGCTGTTGAATGATTATCTCCAGCTATCTTCTGTGAGATATGCGTTCAACTTTATCTTCATATCTTCTTTGTTTGCCTCTGGTTGAACTGTTGAAGGAAACTTCAAGTGTTAGTGTCCAAAGGGGTTATGGAGATGCACTTTCCATCACATCTTTGGTCAGTTCATCGACCCTCTGGTTGTTCTTCAGACTTAGTTATTTTTCCTTGAAGTCTTCCATCGGTCTTCTGGTTCTTCATCACTTGTTTGTCTTCATTACTTCATGCATAACACTTATGGGGTCTAACAATCTCCCCCTAAGTAATGAAAGAGCAAACATCGTCTATTCTAAGAACATTCAAAGTATAAATGAAGAACAGAGGCTATTCTATAGAAAAACATCTTTTGCCAAATTTTTCATTGGATCAAATGATGAATTCTTACATTGGTGAAATGAAAATTACAAACCAACAACAAAAAATACATAAGACTACACTTAGGGTCTCCCCTCAGATATTTCCCAAAAGCGCATGAGTAGTCCTCTATAATCGATGACTGTAGATATTTCATGTATCAATCTATGTCCATCGTTTGTTGGTACGTGAGATCTGCCCAATCTGTCTCTTATGGCTTTCTGAAACCATTTAAGTGTTTCATTTGAATACTTAAAGGCCTCAGTCAACCTAAAGAATTTCTTCGCTCCAAACTCATTTTTGTATACCAAACCCAGTTCTGGTTGAGCGAGGACAGAGGCAGATCTCTTCTCCTGCAGCCCAGGGAAGTCTTCGTTGGGTGGAGTGCAGGATAGTCTTTCGATGCCAAGCCGAAAAGCAATCTCAAAATCACAATTGGCTCGATGCTTTACCAAGGTCTCTATAGTCTATACAATCGCTCTGTTAGCCATCCCAAATCTTATGCCTTGATCCTGTCGCTGAGTCGTGTACGCATAAAGCTCAATCAAGTCATAGGGATTGAGATTAATCAAGTCATTGTCACTAAAGACGCTGACCTGACCACGAGCTCTCTCCACTGTGTACTTGATGTACTTGATGACTCGATTGGCAAAGGTCCTCATTTTGATGTCCATGACCAACTTTATTCCATTATTTGAAAAGACAGCCCTTGGTGGTTGGGTGGTCTGTCTAATAAACCTATGGTGTAAGAGGTTCATGGATTCTGGTGATAGTATTGGAGGATTGAGTGTCAAACCTTCATCGCGATCATGGTACATGTATTGATGGATATTCTCCATCATGACTGGCTCCCTTGGTGGCACCTCTGGACGTCTCCTGAGCGACTCCATGTTTGTTATTATTTCATCGACTATCCCTTAGGGAGGGTGCCTTGAAGATGAAGGAACATTTGCTTGCACCTGGGTTTGTTGGGCTGTGGGTTGTGTTTGGGTTAATGGTTGAGAGGGGGTAGATGATGGAAGAGTTTGGGTTAGCTCTGGTTCATTGGCCTTAGACGTGGTGGCTTGTGGTTTAGGATGTTGCTTTTGGGTGGTTTCTGGTTCATTGGGTTGGGATGGTGGTGATTGTGGTGATGAAGGTTGGGTGATTGTGGGTTGAGTTTGTATGGGTAGAGTAGGGAATGGTTGTGTGGTGCGTGGTGTTGGTGATGGGGTTAATGGTAAGTTTGGAGATTGTGATGGGGTGAAGGGTAGGTTGGTTGGTGGTGTTGATGGTTCTTCATCGGTTGATGAGCTCAACTCGATGAGTTCTTGGGCTGTGGCGATGGGAACATGTACATTCTGTACATCTTCAGAGGGCTGAGCCTCTGGTTCCCTCGCTTGAGTTTCTTGGTTTGGGGAAGATGGTTGGTGTTGTGTTTGGGGTGAGGGTGGTGGTATAGCAGATTCATATGTTGAGCAGCCGCAGCCTCGTTCTCCCCCTCATGAGGTTCTAGACCTTGATCATCGGGGTCTGGGTCCTCATGGCATGGCCTTTTGTGTAGGCGGTTGCTGGAGCATGAAGTTCATCTCCTTTTCTTCTTTTTCTCCTTCTTGAAGGAGGCAAGATACGCCTTCAGGACTTGTTGACTCCGGCTTTCCTCTAATGAGTGAAGGAGGGAGTTGGTGCGTGCTTGTTGATCAACAAGGCTCTGGGAGAGAGCCTTGGTTGGTTGTGCAGCACGATGAATGAATTTTGCATTTATCTCATTGAAGGATGAGACAAGTGCCTTTGACAGGACCCTTAGGTCGGCCCTGGTTGCATAGTCCATGGTGGAGGTGGAGGCAGGTGGGGGCATTGAGGTGGTGGTGGATGTGGATGGAGGAATGGGAAAGTTGGCTATTAGATTCCTCACCTCTGCAGTGAAGGAAGAGAAGGCTTCATCAAAAGATGGGCCTGCAGAGGGAGGTGGAGGAGGAGGAGGAGGTTGGGGAATGGTGGCTAGTATGGTGGCTGGGAGGGAGGAGAGGGTGTTTTGGATGGTGGTGATTTAGGTAGAAAGAGAGGCTAGTGATTCATCGATGCATGTAGTGGTGGTTGATGCAGGTTGTGGGATTAGAGATGAGATAGATGATGGGAGGTTGTTTATGGCTTGGGAGATAGTGTTTAGTTGGGTGATGATGGA